CCACACCACAATCCCTTCTCCTCCATTTTCCTCTCGGGATCTTGGGCACGCACGCACATGCGCCTGGCATGAGTTTTTTTTTTAAGCCACCGGGTTCGGGACATGAACCGCTGTCGACTACATGGGAATCCAGCAACATAGCCATTACGCTAATTGCTGGTCCCCAGATAATTGTATTTTAAGATGAGCTGTGCCCTGGACGTACAAGACCGCTATGCTCATGGAAGATGGGGCAGTGGACCACTGCATTCACTGACCATAGGTGCTTGGCATCTGTGAGCTTCAACATCCCCATTGCTGCCACCCCATTCTCCCAGAGCTTTATCTACCTGTTCACCCGTTCACCCACCTATCCATTCATAGCACTTCCAACTGATAAGGACTTTTAAAAACACAAACACAATACTATTTATATAACCAATAAAATCCATCACAATTATGAAATATCACCTAATTCTCTACCCATGTTAAATTTTCCCTGGTTATCTAAAAGCCTAGATACGGTTTGTAATCTGAACAAACAATTAACCTTGTACTTATTTAAAATGCCTCTTAATTTTCTTTTAATCTATAACAGTCACAGGGACTTTTTTTATATCTTCATTTATTCTTTTTTGGAGAGGTTTTTACTATAGGGCGCATGTACTCGCAAGAAAGACAGAATGAGACAGAGAGATAAAAAGTGAGAAATCTACCTCCCCCCCCACCCCAAGGGGCATGGCCACACTGCAATCCCTCCTCCTCCATTCTCCTCAGGATCTTGGGCACGCTCGCATATGCACTGGGCATGAGTTTAAGCCACCGGGTCCAGGACTCAAACCACTGTCAGCTACATAGGAGTTCAGTGACATAGCCATTATGCCAACTGCTGGTCCCTCTTCATATATTTTTTAAATTACTTTTGAAAGTATTTATGGGCTGGCTCCATAGCACAGTGGTTATGTGCTATGCATTGGGAGCCGAATCCCACATGATTGACTGTGGTTCGAATCTCAGCCCCATGTTGAAACATGCTGGGAACATGCACGAGCACAGCCCAAATTCTGACAGGATGGAAAATGGAGGAGAAGGGATTGCAGCATGACCACACCCCACTGGGGGCTGCTTTCTCTCTCTGTCTCTCTCAGGCAAGTTCACATGCCCTCCAGCAATTAAAAATAATTGCTTTAAGTATTTGTGTGTCCACCAAATACATAATGTTTGTAAACAAAGTAAAAAGAAAACTATTTCTAAACTGCAAACAGGTATAAAATCTGGGTTGACCCATGGTCTAGTAGTTAAGGGAGTCTGATCCCAAATAGCCAACCACAGTCAAATTCTGGCCCCTGTAACTTAAAAACACTCCAGGCTTGTGCGTGTGCATGTCCCAAATCCTAAAACGATGGATAAATAGAGGAGAAATGATCGTGTGTGACCACACCCCATCGAAGAGGTGCTTTCCCTCTCTTTCTTTCCCTGTCTGTCTCTGGTGAATGCACACACACTTTGACAATTAAAAAACAAAAAGCTATATGGTGATATGTCCCTCAATTTTCCTTCCCAGATAGAACGTTAGTAGTTTTATGTGTAGTCTTCTAGAAATTGTCTCTGCCTAGACCCACATGCTAGCCCCTGAGGCTGCTGTACCATGGTATTTAAGAGTCTGGACATGAGTTGAAATCTTTATTCTGCCACTTACTAAGTGTAAGTTCGGGGCGTGGCGCTCAACCTCTGTGCTTCGATTTTTGATAATAGTATCTATCTCATAAGGACGTTGACAAAATTAAAGTATATAAGTAAAGCACTTTAAAATTATTTGTTATTGGGGCCAGCAGATGGCATAGCAGTTACATCGCTGGATTCCTATATTGCCAACGGCAGTTCAAGTCCCATACCCAGTGGCTTAAAAACCATGCTGGGTGCATGTGCATGTGTGCCCTAGATTCTGGAAGGAGAATGGAGGAGAAGGGATTGTGAGGAAGAGAATGGAGGAAAGGGGATTGTGGCATGGTTATCCCCTCAGGGGGATGAGTTCTCATTTTCACTCTCACTGTCTCTGTCTCTCTCTCTCTGGTGACAGCACACACCCTAAGTCCAAAACCTCTAAAAAAATAATAAAAATTATTTGTTATCATATACATTCACCTTTAGCTTTTCTCTAAATGGCAGAATGCTGCACATTTCCTTTTATTGGTTTGGTTTTCTCATCTAACATCACATTTTGATAATAATTCCATACCTGTTCATATATTGTAGATTTGCTTTAGTCTTTGTAATAACTGACTAATCTTCCATGGTACTATACCAAACATGTGGGTTATCTCCAACCTTTTGTTACTACCAAAAAGTACTGCAGTAAATATCCTTGTAATTCTTTATTGGATCCATGAGCTAAAAATATCCATAAGATAAACTCCTAGAAGTGAACCAGCCTGTGGCCTGATGGTTAAGACAGCTGTACTCCACATGGCCAAACATACAGTTTGAGTCCCAAACCAGGCAGTTTGAAGAATGCTCTGGGTGCAAATGTGTACATGTCCAAAATCTCAAACAAAAGAGGAAATGGAGGAGAAAGGACTGTGGCATGACCATGCCCCATGGGGGGTGCTCTCTTGCTCTCCCTCTCTCTCTCTCAAGTGAGCACACATACCCGCTGGCAAAAACAAAACAAAACAAAAACAAACAAACAAAAAACAGAAACAAACAAACAAAATCTCCTGGAAGTGAAATTGCTGAGCTAGAGTATGTGCATTTTATGCTTTATAGATACTTCCCAACTTCTCTGAGGGGGGTTACACCAATTTATGCTCCCCCAAAATTGTACAAAGGATCTCATTTCCCTTTGTCCTAGCTAGCACGGGATATTGCTAAATGTATTGATTTTTTGTAAATAAGACTACTGAAAAATGGTTTCTCATAGTTTTAATGTGCATTTCTCTTATTATAAGAAGAGAAAGGAATTCCTGGGCAGCTAAACCTTTGTAGTCAAATAAATGATCCAGCCATGACTCCTGAGTGAAGTTGCAGGGGCCAACACATCAATACCAAAGACCTTGTCTGTACTTGACGCAGATGCTCCCTCTCGCATAGCACTAAGAACATTTCATCTATGTGGTTATTCAGTTATATCCAGAGTGCGAAGAGTTTGCTCCAACCAGTCCAACTCCATTTTCTGGTCCTTTCTCGACACATGGTCAGGAGTTGAGTATTGCAGCTGTGGGATGTGCATTTGCCCAACTGACCATTTCCGCCTCCTTGAGACATGTTCTTCCATTGGTTTCCCTGCTGTCACACTCATTGATGTTCTCCTAACTCAGTATGTCCTTATTCTTCTTGACAGGTTTTCTTCCTATTCTGTGCTGGTAGGAATGGGGGAGTCCCAAGACTTCTTCCAGTTCCTTCTCTTCCTCTGACAACAACTTCTCCATGAGTGGTATCCATGGGTTTAAATGCATGACATATTTGATGGGTTCAATACCAAGGCCAGGGGTGAAGACATTGATAATGGTTGTCTTCAGAGATAAGTTATCAATTTTTTTTATTTGTTTAGTTGCTAATTGTATGCCTACCCCCCATTTGGATATAAGTTGCATGAGACAACGGGGACTTTGTTTTGTTTATGACTGTACTTGCAGCATCTAGAACAATACCTGGCACATAGTAGGTGCTCAATAAATAAATTAAACACCTGATACATACTTGGGAAACTAAAATAGACTCAACTAAACTTCCCCTGATAGTCATGCCAGATTTGCTGATGCCTCTCCAGATAGAGGAGGCCCTACATTTATGAAGTATTTCATTTCCTCTGCAAAAAAGGAAAAACTCACCCTGATCACAAAGTCTAGAAATAGATTTGGCATGTTTTCTAAAAAGAAAATATTTCTTGTAGCACCAGAAATTATTTTCCCACAGCTTTTTGCTACATCAAAATATTGAACTTACTGAAAATACTCCATTCTTTAATCTTGGTGTGGGCTTAAAAACTTTTTTTTCTTTCTTTTTTTTTTTTTCTATTTTTTTGTAACAAAGAAAATATAAAAAGCTCCTGATGCTTGAACTCTTCCAAATATCTTCAAACTTAAAATGTCATTACAAGTTAAGACAGATTAACAACAACAACAACGACATAAAACAGTGACTACTGAGAAATCTCATTAAAATTTTGGTCATCAAAATTTACAGTTGGGTAAAAACCCAGCTTTTGTTTATTTAAATAGTTACATATGACTGAAGGCAGAAAAAAATTCCCTCAAGTCTCCCCTTTACTCGTTTTTACTGGTGAATTCTATGAATGATTCTACCTTTAAATATTTTTGTAATCCTTTTACAAATTAATAAATAAGAATGTATTCATCAGAAGGATTTTAGAAATTTTTCAAATTAAAAAAAAATTAAAAGAGATTTAATTTTTAAAATTATATTTCCAGGCTACTGTTAGTGACATGATTTTATTTATTTACTTATTTTTTAGAGAGATTTTTGCTATAGGGTGTGTGTGCTCACTGAAGACACACAGTGAGAGACAGAGAGAAATAAAATGAGAAATCACTCCCAGGGGGATGACCATGACACAATCCCTTCACCTCCATTCTCCTCTTGGGATCCTGGGCACATATGTACCTCGTGTGAGTTTTAAACTGCCAGGTCCGGGACTCGAATCACAGTCGACTATGTGAGAGTCCAGAGATGTAACCACTATGCCATCTGCTGGTTCCTAGTGACATGACTTTTTCTTTTGAGAGGTTTTTGCTATTGGGTGCGTGCGCTTGCCAGACAGACAGAGACAGAGAGACAGAAAGTGAGAAATCACCCCCAGGGGGGGATAGCCATGCCGCAATCCCTTCTCCTCCATTCTCCTCTCGGGATCTTGGGCACACATGCACATGCTCCCGGCATGAGTTTCAAGCCACTGGGTCTGGGACTTAAATCGCAGTCAACTACATGGGAGTCCAGCAACATAGCCATTACTCTAACTGCTGGTCCCGTGACATGATTTTTAATCCTTGTTTCATCTTTAGTTTTTCCAGATTTGCTCAAAGCTATACCAGTGAGCATCCACGTCAATGTCATTCTCTTCTCCACGATTCTCATTGTTTTAACCATGGTGGGGACGGCCTTCTTCATGTACAACGCTTTTGGCAAACCCTTTGAAACTCTGCATGGTCCACTAGGGTTGTATCTTTTGAGCTTCATTTCTGGTAAGTACAAAATTCTACTTCTGGAGACAAATATGCCTTCCAACGTGTCAAAAGACAGTCTACCTAAACATAATGCCATACTGGGTCATCGGGAAAGTCATGATGATTTTTGCATAGAAAAATACTGGAAAATACATCACGACTTTCCCAACCACCTAATATATGTATATATACACACTGCAGCAAAAAGTGGGGAAAAACCACAATTATGCAACTATAGGTAATTCAATAAATATATTATGGTAGCCTAATGAATAACTATGATACTGACATTAAATTATATTTTTGAAGATGTGGTTAGAATAAATGTGTGTATCAAGATGTTAGTGAAAAAAGCAATATGTAAGGTTATATAAGCAGTATGAACTCAGTTTGATTATACATATAAAAGTATAGAGAATGTACATAGAAAAACACGCATTATATATAATACACATATATATGTGTGTGTGTGTATATATTCCATGTACACCATATATGGATACACATGGAAAGTATATATGAATGTGTATGTGTATATATGGAGGAGAGGAGATGGTAGATGATAGATACTTTAGCCTGTTGGCTGTGTTTCTAACTGAGCAGTGAAACTATAAGTCATTTGTTTGTTTGTTTTTGCCATAGGGCATATGTGCTCACCAGAGAGAGACAGAGAGAGACAGAGAAGGTAAGTGAGAACTTGTTCACTCCACAATCCCGTTTCCTCCATCCTCCTCTTGACATTTTGGTCATGCGTGCATACACGCCTGGTGTGAGTTCCAAGTCATCAGGCCCTTGCTATCAGCCATGTGGGAGTCTAGTGCCTTAACCACTACACCACCTGCTGGCCTCTGCTATGGGTGATTTTAATTTTTGCTCATACTTAGCAATACTTCTAAACTTTCAATAATATGCTTTTATTCATTTATAATCAGAAAAATAAAGCTATGTCATCAGAAAAGAGTAAAGGGCCAATGCTCTACCATATTCAGGCCACGCCTGTAAGTACTGTGTCTAGCCCAATGTTAGGTGTGTTGGGGCCAAGATAAACTTCTAACCCAAGAAATTAGATAGCCAGCAAACATGTGCTACTCAATAACCGAGGCTGGGAAAATAATATGAAATCCAGGCAATGCTACAGGGTACTTATAACGCATTTACAAGGGGAAAGAAAAAGGGAGGAAAAAATAAAAGAAAAAGATAATTTTATCCTTAACTCACATGTAGCTGTTTTTCTATAGATCTCTAATTTAACCCTATTCTACATTTGGAAAACAAGAAAAAAGCTTCAGCTCTTTGTCATATTTCTAGGAAGCAAGTAGTTTTATTAATGATTTCAGGAGAAACAAGCAATTACAACTCACACCAACAATGTAATAAAAATCCTATTTAAATATTGTTTTCTTTCTTGCCCTTTAGCTGCCAGCTACACGGCAATGGGCACAAGGCCCTTCTTTCTCTGGCTAGCACTCCCTTCTCCCACATAATTCAACTCCAGCCACAAATTTTCTGGAGTTTACAACCAGCCCTGTAGGTAACAGGGCTCACTCATCCTAGAAGGCAGTGTAGCCTCTATTCATTGTTCCCTGAGCAGACTTCTTAGAGCAGACTTCACCCCATCTACATCTTGCTAATCAAATTATCCACTACCCTTTCAGCAAAGGGTCTCTCTCAAGTAGGAATTCTACAGATATTTCCCCATATCTCTCACAAGCATATCAAACAGTTTTAAATTGTACAGATAATGATTACCCTAGGGAGGTAGAGTTGAAGTCTTTATCATGTTTGTATTCCTGGCAGAACCATTCTGCATAAAGCTCTATACACAAAAAAACAATGTGTTGACTTGGAAGAGCAAACTCAGAAAGGAAATGTTAACCAATCACCTAGATAGCGCAGGCTAGAGAAATCAGAATTCAAATGGAATTAGCAGAGCAGGTCCATAGAGGTGGTAGGACTTGAGCCAGGGAGGAATGTGGTAGAATATTCTAAAGGAAGGCCAGGGGCTTTGCCACCAGAGCAGAAGAGCAAGAGCAGAAGCACAGGGTGAGAACAGACTAAGACAGTGACTCAATCTCAAGTGAAGGTTCAGATTGGAAGCGGGTGTTGGGATTACTTCCTCCTGCCAAACATTCAAAATCAACCTCGTGGATTCAGGTGATTTACTGTTTCAGAGATGACCATTGAGTCGATTGGGATCCAGCTAGAAAGCAAGACATATGTATTTTAACAGAGGACCAATAATGCATGGCAGTGATTCTCAAACTGGGGTCTCTCGATAAGTAGCATCTGCATAATCTGGAAATTTTTTTTTTATTTTTGAGAGATTTTTGCTATAAGGTGCATGTCTCTCACAGAGAGACAGAAAGAGACAGAGAGACAGGAAGCAAGAAATCAGCCCCCTGGGGGGATGGCCATACCGCAATCCTTTCTCCTCCACTCTACTCTCAGGATTTTGGGCACACACGCACACGTGCATGGCGTGGATCTTAAGCTGCCAGGTCCAGGATTTGAACTATGGTCAATTATATGGGAGTCCAGCAACATAACCATTACACCATCTGCTGATCCCTAATCTGAGAACCTGATGGAGAAGCAGATTCTGAGGAGGCCCACCCTGACCTGCTGAATCAGACTCTCTGGGGGTAGGGCCTGGCTATCTGTGGTTTAACAAGCTCTTCAGGTGCTCTGGATGCATTGATCAAGTTTGAACTGTATATTGATCAAACAGGTTTTAGAACACAGAAAAATTAAAAAGGAGACCAACTCAGAGTTGGTAATCTTAGAAAGCAGCTATTATCCCAAGGGCTAGAGGAATAAATGAAAGACTTTGGGTTCCCAGAACTGACAAGCTGGAGGAGAGACCACAGAACACTGGGTCTTATACCTTGAGAGGCTGGCACAGTAGCTCTGTAGGACAACATGAGGGGTTTTGTGAGTGGAAAAGGGTTGGAAACCCCAATTATTGCTGCCAGGGAGGAGTACTATTTTTTTTTTTTTTTTTGGGTGATTTTCACTGTAGGGCGCGTGCGCTCGCCAGACAGACAGAGAGAGACATAGAGACAGAAAGCGAGAAATCACCCCCCAGGGGGGATGGTCACGCCGCAATC